CCACTTTATATTACTCACACATGCTCTCACACTATATTGCCTGGTCCTGTGACTGAAGGAAACTGCTTAGTTGATATTACAGCTGGATCCATCACTATTCCCAGCAAACTACAACAAGCTAAAATATCCCATGACTTTTTTCACCAGAGATCATTACAAAAACAATTTGACCTCACTCAAAATCAAGCCAAAGAAATTATATCTGCTTGCCATGATTGCAAAATTTAACACCTATTAAATCAGAAACAGTAAACCCCAGGGGTTCACAGTCCTTGGAATTATGGCAAACAGATGTCACACATTTACCCAGATTCGGTAAATTAAAAAATATACGTCTCTATTGATACTTGCTCTGCCTATATCATAGCCACCACACTCCCTGAAGAAAAAATCAAAGATGTTAAAAAACGTCTACTAAGCATTTTTGCACATATGGGGGTCCCAGAAACAATAAAAACAGACAACGCGCCTGCATATGTGGCAAAAGACACCCAGACATTTTTTCAGTCGTGAGGCATAACACATGTTACTGGCATTCCACATAATCCCACCGGACAGGCAATTGTGGAAAGAGCACATTTAACTTTAAAAAATATGCTGGAAAAATAAAAGAGGGGGACTACAGGACTCTCACCTCATGAGCAGTTGAATAAAGCCTTATATGTTATTAATTTTTTAAACAGATTAGATAATTGGAAAAATCCCCCCGCATTTAGACACTTTGATAAAAAAAAGCACAGAATGTAACAGCAAAAGCAAAGATTCTGTATAAGGACATTTTAACCAGGCAATGGAAAGGTCCCTTGTCTATCATAACATGGGGAAGGGGCCATGTTTGTATTTCCACAGAAAGCAGAACAATATGTGGTCCGTTGAGGTGGGTGAAGTTCTACCAAGAACAACCAGAAACGCCAGCAGCCTCCTGATTTCCATCTTGCTTCTACGGATGACGACACCGATGTTCCTGACAACCCCTATCGGAATTCCAGCATGGGCCTTTGGAAACAGTAACAACTTATGGATGGCTCTGGCAAGGAAGCCTATACAGATACAGTTTGTCTTGCTACCCACAACCTTGCTAACCCTATTACCACGTTTAGTTGGTATCCCCAATGCAAATACCTTGGAGACTTTTCGTAAAACCTTTTCTGTTACTAAGAATGAACCTGTTGAATTTGAGTTTCTTGGTTCTTCCATTACTAACTTCTGTATACATTTTGAAAGAAGATTTAATTTTCCTCTCTGCAAAACAAATAATGTCACTCCCAAAAAAGCCATCTACAAGAACGCAACATTGTGGTGTAATGAGACCCAACTGCAAAAAGTCATCATTGAAACCCCTTACAAATCTTTAAAATTAAATCATGGTGATTTTTTAATTTGTGGAGAAGGGGCATGGTTTGGAATTCCTTATAATCTGGAAGGGGGACCAGGCACCATGGGTAAAATTACCTTTTTTCACCCCTTTAAATTTCCCATACCCAGCAAAATTCCCTCTTCAGAAATCAAGCCTGTAGCTCCTAGTCGTGCTAAGAGACAAATTGCCACTAGCTCAAAAATGGAAATCATTTGTAGAAATAAAGAAGAATATCCCCTAGCTTGGGATTCTTTTCCTCCTTCTAAAAAGACTACCCCTAAAATTATGGCACAAGTTCCAAATTCTGTACAATCCTCTGGATCAGCTTCAGACACATCCATTCACCTTGATCTCGTGACTGACCCTCCAACTCCTACTCAGTTCCATCCCCTAGCTCATATCCCTTCAATATCCCCTGACTGTGATCCCCCCATAAAATTATGGATCAGAGATCGAGATTTTTGGGTGGTTTTTTTTTGCAGTTGGGATTGCATCTGATCATGCTCTTGGCGTCCTTAGCCACATGGCCTGTTGGATGGCTAAGGAAGCCAACACCACCTCCCTTGCACTGCAAGAGTTGCTGGAAGACTCCCTCACTTTGAAGGGAGTCTCCTTACACAACAGAGCAGCCATAGATTTCCTTTAACTATTGCATAATCATGGCTGTGAGGAGTTTACAGACTTATGCTGTCTAAACTTCTCAGATCATTCACAATCAATCCGATCTAATAATTAACAGCTTCAAAATTTAATTTCAAAAATTCATCAAGACCCTAGATGGCAAACCAAAGATCTTTTTGATGGACTGAATTGGGGATCCCTCCCAAATTGGATCAAACAGTTAATATTAATTGGTTTCTCCATCCTTTTTTCTCTTATCTTTATTGCTTATCTTCTTTCTTGTCTTTCTGCCTTGCTAAAAAAATATTGCCTCCCCAGAGCCCTTCCAGTTACTGTCCAGGTCCCACTGCAAGACTACAATCAAGATTTCCAAAAATTCTGCAATCATTTCAACAAAAGAGGGGGAGATGTGGAGAGTTGTGGTCTGAATAAAGAGGACTTTGAGAGATGGAAAAGAGCTTACCTACCCTAAGCAAACTAATAGAGATTCTAAAACAATGGAGTTTATTCTTGCTATTAGGATTGATTCCATACGTTCCTTCTTTTTACTATGTTAATGCATGTTGTTATAAATAATGTACTCCAGTTCCGTTTATTTCATGGTGTTACGGCATGCTTGGACATGTTCTCCCCTCGCTGTTCTCCTCAACCCCTGACTGGCTGGAGTCTGCCGCAGTGCATCACAGCTCATGATTGGTTCCCAGTTATGTAATGTTCCCTCCTGTTACCCCATTTGCTTACCCCTGTTGTCAATCCCATGCTCTACCCCTTTTCCAGAACCTTCCGTGACTCCCCTCCAAAAAGGGGAGCTCCCCCTTAATAAGGGAGATTCGCCATTGCGACCTCGCCATCATCTGAACCCTTTGCGAGTCTTTTTCTCCCACACCCCGCAGTGTGTGATGAGTAATTCAGCCCTGCCCTGAGGTGTCCCTGCAAGGAGACACCCTGGGGGTCACAGGGACCCCAAAGTAGGACCCCCCAGGCTGGGCTGGGCTGGACTAGAGGGGAGGCCTAGGGGAGACAGAGAAGTACTGTTCAGAAGCAGGAGAAAGCTGCTTATTCTTTCTCCTCTGGGGCTCAAATCCTCCTTCCCCCTCACCAATTCCCTCCACATCTGCCACAGCAATCTTGGGAACAGATTTGCCTGGTCAGGAGTGGTTCAGACCAGTCCAGATTGGTTCCAACCAGTTCAGACTGGTCCAAACTGGTTCAGCCAGGTCCAGACCAGTCCAGACAAGTTCAAATCAGTTCAGACAGGTTCAAACCAGTTCAGACTGGTCCAGACCAGTCCAGACCGGTTCAGGCTGGCCTGGCCTGGGTCAGACTGTTTCAGACCAGTTCAGATTGGTTCAGACAGGTCCAGACTGGTTCAGACCAGTTCAAACCTTTTCAGATCGGTTTAAACTGGTTCAAACCAGTTCAGACCAGTTCAAAGTGGTTCAGCCAGGTCCAGACCAGTTCAAACTGTTTCAGACGGGTTCAGACCAGTCCTGACCAGTTCAAACCCATTCAAACTGGTCCAGGCCAGTTCAGATCAGTCTGGACTGGTTCACACCAGTTCACAAAGGTTTAGACTGGTTCCAACCGGTTCAGATTGGTTCAGACCAGTCCAAACTGGTTCAAAGCAGTTCAGACTAGTCCAGATGGGTTCAAACCAATTCACACTAGTCCTGATCGGTTTAAACCGGTTCAGACTGGTCTAAACTGGTTCAAAGTGGTTCAGACAGGTCCAGACCAGTTCAGGCTGGTCCAAAACGGTTCAAACTGGTTCAAGACCAGTTCAACAAGGTCCAAACCTGTTTAGACTGGTCCAGACCAGTTGAAACTGGTTCAGACTGGTCCAAACTGGTTCAGACCGGTCCAGACCAAATCAAAACGGTTCAAAACGGTCAAAACCGGTTCAAGCCAGTTCAGCTCAGTTTAGCCAGGTCCAGACCAGTTCAAACCAGTTCAGCCAGGTCCAGACTGGTTTAGACAGGTTCAAACTGGTTCAGGCCAGGTCCAGACCAGTTCAAACTGGCTCAGACTGATTCAGGCCAGTTCAGCCAGGTCCAGACGGCTTCAGATTGATTTAGGTCGGTTCAGCCAGGTCCAGTCCATTTCAGCCAGTCTAGGCCGGTTTAAACCGGCTCAGACTGGTTCAGCCAGGTCCAGACCGGTTCAAACCGGCTCAGACTGGTTCAGCCAGGTCCAGACCGGTTCAAACCGGCTCAGACTGGTTCAGCCAGGTCCAGACCGGTTCAAAACGGCTCAGACTGGTTCAGCCAGGTCCAGACCGGTTCAAACTGGCTCAGACCGGTTCAGCCAGGTCCAGACCAGTTCAAACCATCTCAGACAACTCCAGACTGGTTCAGACCAATTCAGACTGGGATGGGGGTGTGAAATGGATTGGGATGGGGGTGTGGGATGGACCAGGATGGGGGTCACAGTTATGACCTTATGGCTACTTTCCCAGCTCATCTCTCCCTCCCCAGTTGATGGATCCTGATTCCCCAAGTCATTCCTCACACAGGAGCTGTGCTGTACCTTTAATCATCCTTCTCCACACCCAATTTAACTGTATCACAACTTATTTCTGGGACTTCACTGGGCATCTACTGGGAGTACCCCTGACTAACTGCCTGCTTCATGTTGTAATTACATGAACCACAAACCAGCCACCATTGAAAGATTTGGGAAAGTGCAAAAAGAGCAGGCTGTTATGGACACTGCAACTCCAAGAAATCATGCTATTAAAAATAACAGCAGGAAAGATTTCCTGCATCAGCTCCGCAGTTTCCTCCAAAGCTTTTACTGGATTCAGAGGCATAATCAAGAGTGTTCACTACACTTGGTCTCTTGTAAGAGAGTTCAGGGGGCCCTCCTCATGTGCACCAATGCTGAAAACTCACCAACATTTACTCTGAGGAAAATTCCCTCCATTCATTCAGGCAGTGGATGACACTACCCTGACAGGGATGTGCTTGATCCTTGGGAAAATAGGAGCCAGAAAAGTGTGAGTATTAAACAGACAAACAACAGGTCAGGTAAGAAAAATACTGCCTCTTCTTTAATGTTTAAAGACATCAGTAAACAAACAGAACAGCACAGACAGAGGCTAAACCCTCCCAGCTCCCCAAACAGCACATTCCAAACCACCACAGGTACCAGCTGACAGCTCGGGAGAGGGAGTAGCAAAGTCTGGGATTTGACAGATGGCTGAGACAAATCTCTGCAGGGTGAGGGCAGAAAGGCATAGGACTTGGAGGAAGCAGCTTACCTCACCCATGTCTGCTGGGTGCAGTCAAGAGGGAATGATTTCCCCTCGGAGCAAGTAGCCCAGATCTTTTGCTAACGCACAGAAGGGTCATGTGTGAACGTGGAAAAGACAGCTGGGAGCTGCATTAGGGGTGTAAGATGCACCATGTACTGACCTTGGCAGCCAAACCTCTGTTCCACAGGGATTTTAGCCTCTTGGAGAATAAACACACCAGAGAAGTTGGGTCTCCAACTCAGCAGTGTTGAAGAACTCGCTTGTGAATGCAAGTCTGGGTGTGGGGGGAAGGAACAAGCCTCCATCCCTTGGTCTCTGCTCCAGGGACACTCCCCACCCTGACCCCACAACTGGCCTGGTCTCCAATAGTTTTCCTCAAGCTGTGGAGCACCAAATGGTTGGAAGGGCCATCAGGAAGCAACTCAGTGCAGGCTGCAAAGCACAGTCAAGTGGTACCTGAGTGGAGGGTTGGGGAGAACAGGATGGATCTGGTGGTGCTGGAACAGAGGCAGAGATGGCAGGCACAGCTGCTCCAGCTCCCAGCTGGCAGGAGCCTGCAGGGGAGTCACAGAGCATAGGTCAGGCTCTGACGGCTGTCCCAAGGCTGTCAGCCAGCACACAGCATGGACCCCTTTTCCCAGAGCAGTGACAGCTGGAACCATGACACGTGGTGGAAACTCAGGAACACATTTCACTGTTCTTTGCCTCTCCAGGCAGCAGAATCCTGCAGTGGGGCTGTTCCTGCTGCCACTACGTGCAGTCTAAGATGAAGGGAGGGCTCCTCCACAGCCCAGTTAAGTGCTCCAAACATCCCTGTCCAATGTGGGATGCCCAGCAGTCCAGAGCCCTCAGATCTCCACATCGCTCTCTTTGTCGTTGTCGTGGTCACCGTCGTAAAACTCGTTGGCAGCCTCGGGTCTGGGGAAAGGGAAACGCCTGTCAGGGAGGAGGGCAAGCCCTGGCACCCTGGGGCCCAAGGTCAGAGGATGCCCTGCACCCAATCACCCTGGGGAATGTCATATAAGGACACCATATGTTCCTAGAGAAGCTCTCTGAGTGAAACTTGAGACCTGGAGGTGTCTTCTGAACTATTTGCACATGACAGATTTCTAGATACTTTTTGTTGCTAGTTTTGTGTAATATTTATTGAACATTTTTGACAAATAATTTATTTTTGTAAGCCTAAAAGTGATTCTTTGAAAGTTTCTTTAAACTTGACCAAAAGACAGTACAAAAACACTGGCACTTGAGTGTTGAATGTCACCGTGTGAAATTGTATTTTCTGGGGTAGTGAGAGCTTTTAATGTTTAAGCCATATTAAAGTCTTCAGTGAAACTAAGCAGATTTGGCATTGGCAGTATAGCCATAACTTTCTGATAGTAAAACAAAAGTTGTCAACTTACAATTAAACATGCCAAGGTTTTGATACACGTCTTAAGATGATCTCTAAGGTCCCTTCCAAACCAAATCATTCTGGGATTCTACGACTTGCAGCTGTTCTAGGAAACACAGTCTCCAGTCTATCACTCACCCATCCCAGCAGGGACAGAAAGAGAAGCCCATTTATCCAGAACAAGCTCTGGTACCTGCTGTAGTTTTCCTCAGAGCCCCTCTCCTCTGGATCGGGCTCATCCGTGCGATCGTAGCTGAGCAGGTCTGAGGGCACATCATGGATCTGCACACTGGGAGCGTGGTTCAGCATCTTCAGGTTCTCAAATATGGTCTGCCTGATCTGATCCAAGTACTGCATGAAAAAAAACAGAGAGGGATCAACCCAGTAGGGTTGTCAGTCAGCACTGTTACCTGCCTGCACCACCTAAGTGGAGAAAAATTTGTGCAAAAAGCCATTTATCAGAGCAGAGGAGGTGGGAGAGTTGATACTCAAGCACACAGGAAACAGCGAGACAACGCAGCAAGGGTCTCAAATGCTTTGAGGTTTTCTGACATCCCAGAAAGGGATGGTTCTTGGTTTTTGTCCATTTTCTGCCCGTACCTGGGCTCTACCTGGTTTCACAGGACAGAGCATCAGCCACAGGGTTCTGGAAGCTCATAGCTGAGATTGTAACACAACTTTAAGCACTCACCTGCCTGGAGTTCTGGTTTTCAATCCTTGTGCTGACATCAGGGTGAAGGGTGAAGTCTGGAGCAAAGTACTCGAAGTACTCTGTGGTGGGAGGAGGCAGAGTTAGAGCACAGAAGGACAGGAGCTCTGCAGAGCACAGATCAGCCTCACCCCTGCCTGCGGGAGACAGAGTCTAAAAGGCACAGAGATGTACAGCTCTGCCTGCAAGGGACTGGACACAAAATCAGAGCAAACAACAGCAACACCTGGGGCCCTGAGTAGGAAATTATCCAAATTAAATGATAATGAGTCTGCCCAGCAAAGTCTACAGTGGGTGGTAGGAGATCTCAGAAAGGTTTAGGTGGTGGGGGGCCTCAAAGCTCATTTCATTCCATCCCTCTTCTACTAGCCCAGGTTGCTCCAAGCCTCAGCCAACCTGGCCTTGGACACTTCCAGGGATCCAGGGGCAGCCACAGCTTCTCTGGGCAACCTGTGCCAGGGCCCCACCACCCTCACAGGGAAGAATTCCTTCCCAATATCCCATCTAACCCTGCCCTCTGGCAGTGAGAAGCCATTCCACACTTCGAGGGATCACTAAGGCCATCTCCAAGATCAGAAAGTGCTGTCACTTTGGCCCTGGTCAAGGCAGAATAGTATACAACAAATTCTTTAGCTCAGCTAATGAGTTAAAAAGGGAGCTCTCAACTTACCACTGTATGGCAGCTCTTCACTAATTGCTTCATCTACAAGCAATGATGTTTCGTAAGTCCTGAAAACGTGGCAAAAGGTGATCTTAGTCCAGAGAAAGAGACATGGTAAATGCAGGGACAAATCCCACAGCAGCTGCTCTCCCAGTGCCCTTCACCAAGCAGAGAAGAGACTCACCAGCATCGTGCCACGTTCCGGACTGTGTAACCACCTCCTCCCAGGACCAGCAAGGGGATGTTGAAGCTCTTCACATACTCCACGCACTCCCTATAACCCCCAAAAAAAGAATGTCAGAGCTGTGAACTGCAGCATAGATTCCTGGGTCAGAAATGCCCCTGTGCAATCAAACACCATCACACCTGGTGTGACCCATCCAGAGCTCAGGGCTCAGAATCATCATCACAATGGTTTGGATGGGAAGGGGCCTTAAAGCCCATCTCATTCCACCTCCCTGCCATGGACAAGGGACACCTTCCACTCGCCCAGGTTGCTCCAAGCCCTGTCCAGCCTGGCCTTGGACACTTCCAGGGATCCAGGGGCAGCCACAGCTTCTCTGGGCAACCTGTGCCAGGGCCTCCCCGCCCTCACAGGGAAGAATTTCTCCCCAGTATCCCATCTAACCCTGCCCTCTGGCAGTAGGAAGCCATTCCCTGTTGTCCAGTCCCTCCATGTCCCTCTCTATCTCTCTGGGAGTCCCTCTAGGCACTGAAAGGGGCTCTCAGGTCTCCCTGGAGAGACCCTGAGAGACCCTCCTCTTCCCCAGGTGAACTCCCCATCTCTCCCAGTCTGGCTCCAGAGCAGAGGGGCTCCAGCCCTCGGAGCATCTCCATGTGCTGCCCTGAACCATTTGTACAAAGTCTCATTCTCAGACCTACTCCTGTCACACAAACATTAAGACCCCCAAAAAACTGTTGGAAGGCCAAAGCCAAAGCTCAAACCTCACAGCAGAGAGTCGCTAGAGCCCTTCAGATGGTCTCTCTCTGCCCAGCCCCCTGCACTTACCCATGGCCTCTGATACTGAGGTTAAAACAGCCCAAACGGTCACAACCCAGAGAATCAGCACCACACTGGGGAACAGAAAAACAAGAGAATTTTGGCACTGCTTTCCAGATACACACCAACCCTGCTACCCCAGGAACAGCAGGGAACACAGGAATAGCCCTCTCCAACCTACAGCCTCCAAAATGGAGGGCTGTGTGCAGCGCTTTGCCTCCTTACCTGCAGCACTATGCAGGTGGGCTGGTAGTAATCTACCACCTGGTTAATGACTGGCTGGAAGAGGTGTTTGTAACCTTTGGAGAGAAAGGTAGGTCTGTCATGGCTTTGGAACAGAGGACCAGGAAACACCTGGGCAGGGGGAAAGGGCAGGAACACCTACTCTGGTCATCGATACCATCCCGTAGGGGCACATTCAGACAGTAGTAACGGCCACTCTCTGCACCCACCTCATACATGTCACCTGCAAAACAGGGCAGTCACAACAGCTCTGACACTTCACAGGGTTGGAAAGGCCAGATCAGCTCTGGGCTGAGTTAGTTAGGACCCCTTCTTCTTAGGAATAACTACAGTTCTGTTCCTCTCTAATCGCTACCTCCCACCATTTCTCCCTGTGGCTTGAATTTTGTGATTTACACTTTTCTACTCCAGCACAGCTTCCAAAGGATTCTGAAGTGAGCCCACACTTAAAAAGAGAGACACATACCTGTGCCAGGAAAGAAATAGTTCCCGTATTTGTGAAATGACACTGTCATGACACGGTCTGTCAAGTAAAAAGCCTCCTGCACCCCGTCTCCGTGATGGATATCGATGTCGATATACAGGACACGTGGGTGATACCTATGGAACACAGGAGGAAAAACAGCACCCACCTGAGCATATCATGCTTTGGATACAAGGCATTTGTCTACAGTCAAACACACTAAATCATTTCCTTCTGATGTGCTTGGCAATCGACATTGGAAACATTTTCTTCTGATGTGCTTGGAAATAGGTATTAAAAAAAAGGTTTTCAGATGGAGCCTTGGAAAGCACATGATGAAAATAACTTGTTTTAACCACCTGGGGGTTAGAAAGTTGCAGGTGTTTGTTTTCAACATGGCCCTTGGTTAATCTTTGACAGCTGCAATGATTTTAATCCTATCAGGAAATGAAAGGTAAGGAGGTGGACACACTCCTTTCCTCCACATGCCAGAGTACTGGAGCACTCTGTCTCAGCTGGTGAGCACCAGAAATTCCAGGCCAGATTAAATTTGCCGTAGAAGCAGCCAGAGACACAGAGAGAGCGTGAAGAAGGGGAGTTCATCATCAGTAAATGCTACAGGGTAGTGGTCAAACTGCTGCTGTGGAGCACTGAGACACAGCCCTGAGCCAGCTCCAGAGCTGCCTGCTCAGCTGGAGAGAGCTTCTCCAGCTTTTCCCAAGGAAATGCTGCACCTGGTCAACCCCCTGAAAACAGGGGATCCATACCAAAACCCTCAGGGAGTATGGAGGGCCCAGGAAAAACAAGACAACACCAAGACAGAGAGGAGGAGTGTGTGGTTCATGCCTTGGAACCAGGGCTTTAAAGTGCCTGCAGGGATCTGAGCAAATTGCCTGATGGTCTTCCAAGAGAGACAAACTATTTAAATTTCCTAGATTATTCATCCCACAAACAAATGGCAGCAAGGAGAAAAGGGGGATGCATGGACACAGGCCCTCCACACTGAGAAATGGAGAAAGGGACCTGCAAGAGCAAAGGCAGCACTGGACTCCCACGGTATGAAGCAAACTCAGAATACAGTCCCCTGCTGCAGAAATGGTTCCTGGCAACAGGGAACAAAAGGATAGGGACATAGTATCATCTCCCATGAGGAGGAACTGGCCTGTATTTGAGGCCTCTGGTGTATGAGACTCGGGTGAAATTAGACAATGGGTGTGCAGATATACACAGGGAAGTCCTGAGGTTCCAAATATGCAGGGATGACAGGCAGGGAGGAAGGAGGTACAAGTAATCCAGTACATCCCATAAATCTGACTTTGAGAGCGAGTAAACTTGCCACCAGTCATGTAACTATTGTCTGGTCAACTCCAAATCCTTTACAATTCCAAAACAATTTGTCTCAGATTCAGTGACAATCAAGAGTACAAAAAAAACCCAACCAACCAACAAAACCAAAAGAAACAAACAAACAAAGAAAACCCAACCAACAAAAAACAACGCCCCCCAAAAAAACCCAAACAAAACAAAACAAAAAAACCACCAAAAAAACCAAACCAAAACAAAAAACCCCCCTGAACAGATTAATTTAAGAAATTGAAGGTATTTCTGCAAGTCTTCCTCCCATTCTGAATTTAATTTTCATTTTCTAAAAACCAAAATAACTTGACTCTTTTCTACTGAGAGCAAGTGTCCTTTGATCATCCATGTGTAGCTCAAGTCCTATTCTCGACCCACTCAAGCAAGTCAAGAAAGATTTGAGTCATTTCTCTGCCTCCAGCGAGCCATAACATGCAAGGTTCACTGTGACAAAAAGGCTGAGGCTCAGGAGACCCTAAAATGAGTGGTTTATGGCTGGATGAGAATTGGGATGGAAGAACTCCTCTGTGTCCCTTAAGCTTCACGCAACAACACTGAGGTACAATTCTCAAACACTTTCTTGTGTCTAATGAAGCCAAGTGGGGGGGGGAATAAATCAAGTCCTGGGGCTTCCTGGATTGCAGAAAGGGAAATGAGGTGGGGAAGCAGAGAGAGAAGAGTGAAGCAGTAGAGGGAAAGCACAAACCAGGCAGGACAGGTGAGTCCTTGCCCCTGTCCTTACTTGAGCAGCTCCAGGATGCCGATAACGATGTCATTAACATAACAAAAACCAGAAGCCTGCCAGAGAGAGAGAAACCCAAACAGCATTAGAATGTGATCAGAGTCTGAGCCCCAAAGACAGAGAAATCCACACATTTGCCTCATTACCTCGAACTTTTTGGCATGATGGAGGCCCCCTGCCCAGTTTATGGCAATGTCACAGATCTGAGAAAGGAAAGAGAAGTGAGTTGAAGGTGATAACAACAACCCTGTACCCTCTTCCTCTCTGTGCCACTTCCACCTGTGGCCCCCAACACCCTTCTGGCCTTTCCTCCTTTCCAGAGCTCCATCTCTGTTCCAAAAGCTCAGCACCTCAGCCCCTTACCTTGTTGTTCAGTTGTGTTGCTCCCTGCAGGGAGGCCCCAGTATAACGAGAGCAAAACTCAAAGAGGCCTGGAAACACTGGGCTGGAAAAGAAATCATGATTCAAACACACAACATCTCATCCCTGCCCACTTCTCCAGAGCAAAGCCAGCAGTAAAACTGTCCAGGGATATTACCTGAGCAAGAGCAACACTCAGTTCTCTTGTGAAAGAGTTAATTTGGGATCAGGATCACTCTGACCCTGCAGGTGAGAGAGCTGGCTACAAACACAATGGGAAACTCAGGGAACGTGATAATGATTTCCAAAGCTTCCAAGCCAGTCCTGAAAAGGTTCCCCTGCTCCCAGAGTGTGCCAGAGTCTGTCCTGCAGCCCCTGTTGGGATGTGCCCAGAGCTGGGACATGATGAGAGACCCTGCCTCAGGAGAGGGGAGGATTGCTGTGGTCCTGCACTGGCTCCCCTCTGGCTGTGTCTGGAACATCATGGAATCACACACTGATTTGGGTTGTAAGGACCTTACAGCCCATCTCATTCCACCCCTGCCATGGGCAGGGACACCTTCCACCAGCCCAGGTTGCTCCAAGCCCTGTCCAGCCTGGCCTTGGACACTTCCAGGGATCCAGGGGCAGCCACAGCTTCTCTGGGCAACCTGTGCCAGGGCCTCCCCACCCTCACAGCCAACAATTCCTTCCCAATATCCCAGCTAGCCCTGCCCTCTGGCAGTTTGAAGCCATTCCCCCTTGTCCTGGCACTCCAGGCCCCTGTCAATAGTCTCTCTCCATCTTTCCTGCCGGCTCCTTCAGGCACTGGAAGGCCACAAAGGTAATCCAAAAGCTGCTCCTCTCCAGGCTAAATAATCCCAGCTGTCCCAGCCTTTCCTCCCAGCAGAGCTGCTCCAGCCCTCTGATCCTCTTGGTGCCTCCCCGGGACTCGCTCCAACAGCTCCATGTCCTTCCTGTGCTGGGACCACATAGCTGGAGGCAGCACTCAAATTATTAACAAAGATAATTGAACTGAAGGCTCTTCCAGAACAAGTAGAGCCAGAATCTGTAACCCAACAAGCCAAAGTCTAGTTTTAAAAAGCAGGATTGAGCCATCTAAAGGAAAGGAATCAAGGATGTTCCATACTCTGATAAACACAGGAAGGACACGCTCTCCATTCTGGTTAAAAACAAGCAAGAAGAGGGACGTTCTACAAGCTTTTGGGACATGAGCAGAGCAGGGACCCCTTTTGTAGCTGCAGGAGGCTCAGGGCACTCACCAGTCATCGCCCACGTTGAAGGCATTGAGGCTCTTGGTGAAGCCCTGCATGTTGTTGGGACTCACTCTCTGCAGGAAGTCAATGTAATCCTCGGAGTGGAAGCGGCACATGTCGTGCTGGGACGCCTGGTATGGCTTGAAAACCTTCCAGAGACAAAGAAAGACAACACTTACTTCCCAGCCAAACTCGTGCTTGTTTGGGCTGGAAGAAACCTCAAGCTGAGTGACCTGCACGAGGTACATTAAAAACATTCCAACATTGGCTTCCTAATATTTGTGATCTTTTAAATTCATCAGTTGTTCCATGAAAACTTTTCCTGCCCTCTTGCAGCCAACAAACCCATCTCCAGCCTATCCAGACTGCAGCTGTTGCCACAAACTCTCCAATGCACCCCTTCCTCCTTGAGTAGGAGCAAGACAAACCAGCCAAGTCCAAACCACAGCTTTTCCTTCACTCAGGGGAATTATTCCCTCCTCAGTCACCAGCTTTCCACAATTTTAAGACCTTGATCTAAGGGTGGTTTCAGTCCTTCTGACAGATCTGCCTGGAATGGGCTGATGATAGGTTCCAAATTGTTTGGTGAAAGCTCCCAAACAGGTGGAAGAATTGTGTAAGTCCTGTTTCCTCTGGAAAGGAAAATGGTGAAAAATGGTCATGGGCTCAAATTTAGGATCTTGTGACAACTCAGTCTTGCCAGTTTGGCACTTAGGGCACATACCTCAATAGAGGGGAGATTAAAAATTAACACCATGGACCTGGGAGAGCAAATTAAATCAATAAGAGATCTTTTTGGTGTCTCCCAAATTCTCTTATTTAAAGCAACCACTTTACAGGAAAAATGGGACATGGAAATAACAGCAAGATGCACAAGCTGGTCTCAAAAGGGAAATTTATCAGGAAAGCTGCAGCAGTGTCCTTGTTTCCTGTTCATTTTCAGAGCCACAATACACCCAGACAAGCCCATCTCCTCCCCTCCTGGTGTTTTCCATACGGATGTGGAGTTTGGTGTTTCCATTCCCCAGGAGGGCTCCAGGAATCCAGAAGGTTCATGAAATCAAACAAGACCAAACCCAAAGCTAAAGAGTCACCACAGAGGAGAAATAGCTCTCATTGGATATCCAGAGACTCTCTTAGACAACAAAGAGTAGGGATAGGTGATTTAAACAGAAAGGCAGGGAAAAATAGACCAAAATTTACCCAAAAATTGACCAAACCCTGCCTCCTTCCACCCTTCACCCAGTCCCAGCAATCCCATCCACTCTCCCAAGCTGGGAAAGGTGGGAAGACACAAACCCAGCCTGACAGGATAGCAGCCTTTTATTTGGAAGAGGCAGAGAGAGCAGATGGTGCATGCCCAACACAAAGTTAACAGTGATTTTTATAGTCCCAGCTGACCACAATTCCTGCTTTTATCTGTTCCTAACTTTGTCAGTCACTGACTGTTCAGGGTGAAGTTGCCTCTGAGGTTTTCAGGTGCAAAATATAAACCCCAGACAAAGAGTTTCAAGCCTAAAAATGTGGCAAAATGTAGAGCTCTGCCCACTGCCTCCCTCAGACATGGAGTTGACCTTTAAAAGTATTATGTCTGAACACAGGGGGGTTTTTTTGCTGTTCCTGCAAGGAAAGGGAAGTTATTTGTGGAAGTTCACACTCTGACAGGAAACAAGGGAAAATCTGCAAAGGTTCCCCAAGTGCTGCAACTCCACCCAGGGCAGTGGTCACCACACTGGATGTGATTTTTACAGGGGAATTGTATTATTTAGGAAAGCTCTTCTCAAGTTTAAACATCCCCAATTCGTTTCATACATTGCATCCCTACAACAGGGGATTGGACAGGAGGTGGAACCAGGTGGGGGTAGTGACAGAGTGAGAGGAAATGGCCTCAAGTTGCACCAGGGGAGGTTTATGTTGGATACTGGGAAAATTTCTTCACTGAAAGAGTGTTCAGGCCCTGGCACAGCTGCCCAGAGTCATCCTGGAGGGATTTAAAAGCTATGTGGATGTGGCACTTGGGGACATGGGTTAGTGGTGGCCTTGGCAGTCCTGGGACAGTGGCTGGACTCGATCTTAGAGGTCTTTTCCAACTTTACTGATCCTATGATCAAGGACCTGGTCCATTTTAGCACCTTCCTTTAAAACTTGACACTGGGCTTTAGCTTTGGGACAGCCAATTTTCAATCTGCTTTCACTGAACCAACAACTCTCAGCACAGAGCAGATCCAGCACTGGAAGAGCTTAAACTCGAGCCCATTCCAAACTCCAGGCATTTGCACAGAGCTGGAGACAACAACCAAGTTCTGCAGCTGCAGGTTCAGAGCAGCTCAGATCTAGCTTTTCCCTCTGCCCCTCTTGTATTGGTTTGGCTGATCAGATTTTGGCCTAAAAAATAAAAAGCAGGAAAATTATATTGCACACACACCTACAGGATCTGTGCCCCTTGTCCTGCCCACACACTGTCCACATGGAGTCATGGAATCATAGAATGCTTTGGGTTGGAGAAGTTTAGGATCATCTCATTCCACCCCCTGCCATGGGCAGGGAAATCATCCACTGGACAAGGTAGCTCCAAGCCCTGTCCAACCTGGCCTGGGACACTCCCAGGGGTGGGGCACAAAGGGGAAGGAGGGGGAATGTCCTACATCCACTACAAATCAGAGCAATGATGGTTGGAGCCCTTCCTCTTCCTCCCCTCCCTGTGTGCCAGCCCTGCACACTGATGGCTCTGACAGCAGCTCCTCAGCTCCTTGACAGGGCAAATCCCATGGAAACACACTGTACATGTGTATCCCATATGGGGACAGCCATACAAAGCAAATCCAGAGGTGCCTGGAGCTGTAAGCCTCCTACATTTACAACACCATTGCAGGCACGGGCCCTTCCCCACGGCACAGCAAAGGTATCACAGGCTGTGGATCAGACAAGCTGACCTGGGACTGTGCTAGGCAGGAATTAAACCAGTTCAAAGCTGTGATTTCAGTCCACTGAAAACAGGAATCAGGAACAGAAGACAAAACAAGTCGCCCAAACTCATCAGCAGCTGCTGCTGGCATGTTCTGCACATCAGAATGGGAAAAACCCATCTCAGAATGGGCAGAATGGTAGAAGACTTTTACTATTCTCTGCCCAGAGAAGCTGTGGCTGCCCCATCCCTGCAAGTGTCCAAGGCCAGGTTGGACGGGGCTTGGAGCACCCTGGGCTAGTGGAAGGTGTCCCTGCCCATGGCAGGGGGTAGGACTGGATGGGCTTTAAGGTCCCTTTCAACCCAAATCATTCCATGAGTCTATGGTGATCCCATTCCTGCCTTGATTGTGTATCCTGAGGCATTAATCACCCGCCTCACTTTCCTGAGAACTTTTCCCAAAACCAGTTCATTTCCCAAAAGATGGAGGGTTAAGTTTTCCTTTCGATTGTCACTCCATGCTGATCGTGTTTTAGCAGGATTAATGGGTCAGGTTTATGGAAGGGAAAATCTTTCCAAGAGCCAGGAGTGCCCTGGGCTGAGAGAGCTGGGTGGACTTTGAAGGGTAGGTGGGACAAACTGCCCAGGAATGAGATGGAGGAGGGAATCCCTGTGGGGCAACAAGGTGAATTAGGAAGCTTCTGGAGGATTTGTTTGCAGCTTTCCTATTCCATGATCACAGTGTTATGGAATGGGTTGGGTTGGAAAGGAACTTAAGGATCATCCCATTCCAACACTTTATGGTATCCCAGGTTGCTCCAAGCCCTGTCCAGCCTGGCCTTGGACACTTCCAGGGATGGGGCAGCCACAGCTTCTCTGGGCAGCCTGTGCCAGGGCCTCCCCACCCTCACAGGGAAGAATTCCTTCCCAGTATCCCATCTAACCCTGCCCCCTGGCAGTGGGAAGCCACTCCACCCTGTTCAGTCCCTCTCCAGCTCTCCTGGAGCCCCTTTAGGCACTGGAAAGGGCTCTAAGGTCTCCTTGGAGCCTTTCCTTCTCCAGGTGACAATCCCAATCCCAGAGGTCCTTCCCAGCAGGTGCTGCAGACACAGAAATGCCACACTCAGAGCCAGGGCACTGTCCCAGCCCCAGGGATGGCACTGTCACCCAGCTGTGACCAGGGCACTGAAAACCAACAGTGGGACCCTTCAACCCAGCCCTGGATGCTCCAAGGGGTACTCTGGACAACAGGAATGCCTGAGGCTGCTCCAAGCCTGGTGTTGCTGGGAAAGTAGTGGGGCTGGAGAGAGGGCGGCGACACGGCAGAGCTGTGAACAGCCCCTGACAGGGGCAGTGCTCATGTGGGGCCCACGAGTGCCGTGAGCAGGTCAGTGCTCAGCTCTGGCACCTCTCACATGTGTGAAGCCCCAAACAACCACCTCAAACTCCAGCCCCAAAACCTCCTGCTCCAAACCGTCAAGCCCCCTGTCCCAAATGCCTTATCCCAAGCACTCAAACCTCCTGTCCCAACACTCCTGCCCCAAGTGTCCCGTCCCAAACCTTGAAGCCCCCTGTCCCAAACACCCTGTCCCAATCCCCCATGCAGACACCCCTGTCCCAAAACCCCTTAACTCCCTGCCCAAAAACCTTGTTCCAACCACCCCTGTCTCAAATTTCCTGCCCCAAACTCTCAAGCCAAACCCTTGTCCCAAAACCTCCTGTCTCAAGCCCCAAACCACCTGTGTCAGCACTCATGGCCCAAATGCCCCACCCTATATCCTCCTGTCCCAAAACCCCCTGCCCCAACTCCCCATGTGCCAAACCCCTTAACTCCCTGCCCCAAAACCCTGCTCCAAACCTCCCTGTCTCAAACACCTTATCCCAACACTCCTACCCTAAACCCCCATCCCAACACCCCGTGCAAACAGTCCTGCCCCAAAACCCGTTGCAAGCACCCAAACTTCCTGCTCGAACACCCTTGCCCCAAACCCTCAAGCCCCCTGTCCTAAACCGATGTCTCAAACGCCTTGCCCCAAACCCCCAGAACTCCCTGCCCCAAACCCCTTGTCCCCAACACCCATCTCAAACCCTTCCAGCCCCAAGCCCCTGCCCCAAAATCCTTCCAGCCCCGAGCCCCCGTCTCAAACCTCTAGACCCAGTACCCTGTGCAAACACCCCTGTCACCAAACCCCTCAACTCCCTGCCCCAAAACCCTGTCCCAAACCTCTCTAAACAAGAACTCTTTGGCCTAAACATCATCTCAAGCACCCAAGCCCCCTGCCCTAAACACCTATCCCAAACACTTTATTCCAACATCCTGTGCACACACCCCTGTCCCCAAACCCTTCAACTCCCTATCCCAAAACCCTGCCTTAAACCTCCGTGTTCCAAACACCTTGACCCCAAACCCCTGCCCCAAATCCTCTGGCCCCAACACTCCATCCCAAACCCCCATCCCAACACCCCGTGTAAGCACCCCTGTCCCAAACCTCATCCCAAGCACCCAAACCCCTTGCCCTAAACACCTATCCCAATCCCCCCCATCACAAACACCTTATCCCAACACCCTGTGCAGACACTCCTGTCCCAAAACCCTTTGCCCCAAACCCTCATCCCACCATCCACTCCCCAACCCCCTGCCCCAAATCCTCTGGACCCAAGTCCTCTGCCCAAACAACCCGTGCAGACACCCCTGATCCAAACCCCCAAACTCGCTGCCCCCAAACCCCTTAACCCCCTGCCCCAATCCCCTGTCCACAACCCCTCCTGCTCACGATCATCTTCTTGTAGAGCCCGTAGTGCAGCACCAGGCTGTGGGTGAGCGCCAGGCGATGCGGCTTCATGGGGTGCCCCGCGCCTGCAACGGAACCGCACGGGATCAGCGGGGGGCGAGACCAAACGGCCACACCCGCCGCGCCGGGCCGGGACCCGCGGGCACCGCGGCAGGAACAGGTCGGGAACGGGGAGAAGGGGAACGGGGAGAAGAGGAATGGGGAGAAGGGGAATGGGGACAGGGGGGATGTGGGGGGCGCAAGGAGGGGGGGCCGAGAGGGGATCCCGGCCGGGCTGGGGCACACCCTCGCCCCCCGAGCCGGTCCCGGCCGTCCCTCCGCGCGGCCCTGGCGCTGCCCCGGCCCCGGCAGGCCCCGCCCGCACCGTAGTGGAAATTCCCAACGTCTGGATCATAGAAATAGGCCACGGTCTTCGCCATGGCGGACGGGCCGCACTCCTGCTTACGTCATCACCGCGCGACACCCGCTCTAAGGGGGGCTGAGGGAGAGGGGGCGTGGTTAAGGGAACAGGGGGCGGTGCTAAAGGGATAGGGGCGGGGTTATGGGGAGGGGCGGGGTAAGGGGCAGCGCTGTCCCAGTGTCCGCCCCCGACACGTCCCAGTTCCCTCCCGGCTCATCCCAGTTCTCTCCCAGTTCGCATACCGGCCTCACAGCTGCCCTTTGTTCTGTCCCTCCAGGCCCTTGTCCAAAATCCCTCTAAGGCTCTCTTGGAGCCCCTTTAGGCACTGGAAGGGGCTCTAAAGTATCCCCGGAGCCTTCCCTTCTCCGGGCTGAACACTCCCAATTCCCCAGCTGCTCACTTGGTACCTACACCTGCCTCCCAGTCACCCCAAATGTCCACAGTGTCACCTTGCTGCCCACTACCCACCCATCCACAGCTGCCTCCAGGCAGCCCCAGCTGCTCCCAGTTACTCCTTGCTGCCCCTCACCTACCCCAGGTCACCCCCCAGCTGCTTCACCAGTTACCAGTTCACCCACCAGTTACTTTCACTTGTCTCCCAGTCAATCCTAGCGGCCCCTCAGTAACCCCCAGCTTCTCCCAGTTACTCCCACTTGCCTCCCAGTGCCACCCCAGCAGGGTGCAGGTCCTCCCTACCCCTGGGTTTGGCAGGGAGAAGGGACAGGGAGGCACCGAGGGCAGGGGGAGGACAAAAGCCAGGTGGGAAATTGCCGGGTGGGAAGAGACTCCATTTGGAATGGGGGAAACCTGAGCCTCAGCCGGATGCAGGCAGTGACCGGGAATGAACAGGTGCTGACTGGGAAGGGTGGTAAAGGTCTGTCTCCTGTGGGCTGTAAAGAAGTAAGGATAAATGGAGCACCCAAAGGCTTGGGAAGGGAATGAGCTGAAATCTGGGCTCAGTCCTGCCAGTCTCCCATGGGCAAGAGGTTGGGATGAAGGATGCTGTGCTGGGGATGGACTGCCTGACTCACTGGAGTCTCAGAGAGGAGCAGGGCCCCCAAGGGGCACCCCAAGAGCTGGCTGGGGACAGAGATGATGGCAGATGGGCACTGGGATGTTCCCTGGCTTCTCAGAGGACACCGGGTAATGAATGTGCAGGAGGGAAACACCTGGATGTGCAGCAAGGGGAGCTTCCGGCATGTGTGGTGGGGCAGCAAGGTGACAGTGGGATGATATGAAATTTTGGGTGCTGTGCTGGCTGCAACTGGATGAGAGAATGTGCCATGGTGTGATTAAATCGTGGGATTATTAAATGATGCTTCTGGCTGGCTCTGCCACCTCCTGCGGGAATGCTACTCCCTCTCTGTGGGTTTCTGTTCCGGATACCAGTTCCTGAACATGCAGCAAGGTTTGGCTGGAAGGGACCTTAAAGGTCATCTTGTTCCAACCTTCAGAGGAGACCCAGGACCCTGCTGGGGGCACTCAGAGCAGCCACCTGGCACGGTGGGCACCAGACTCAGCACCCACTACCAGAAAAAAAACAACTAAAGGACTTAAATTTAAATGACTTAAGTTTAAGGGATATAATTTTAAGAAATTTGACCGTGCTGCATGACACGGACGTGCTGGGAACTCATGGAACATGGTGACGTCTCAGTGTGATGGTTATCCTGTCACTGCTCCACAAGCTGCTGCCACCAGATAATGCCCGGCTGGGGACACAGAGCCCCCGGAGAGCACGTCCCAACACTCATCTAGGGGAACAGGGTGAGAAAGGGAGAAACACATCCCTGCTTCCAGCTGGGATCCCTCTGCTGGCTGACCTCCCTTCTGGAAGGCAATTGCTGCTCCGGGCATCTTCACAGGTCTTGGAGCAGAGCAAGGAAAGCATCAGAGCTGGATATTTTTAGATGCTCTTTGTGCTCAGAGAGCAAAGCCATGCTATAGTTTAATGGCCATTAGCTGCTGGGCATGTTGGGAAAGCTGAAATAAGGGCTCAGGATTCAGAGAGATGTTTGACACTGTGGGATGGAGCAGCTTTGCAGACACGACAGCGATTTTTGGGCTGAGCACCACAGCGGAGACTCCTGGACGAACCTGCCTGTGGGATTCCAGGATCTGGGCAATCCAGCCTGTTTAATTACCACGTGGACAGTCAGCGGGGCTGGGGTAGCCCATCCCCTGAGCGAGTGCATTCCCATTGTTTGTGGGGTGACATTGGCTCTGATGGCTGCGGAGGAGGTGTGGGAAGAGAGCGGACAAGAGGTAACGTGGCACCACAGGGGGGTCAGACCTGGGTGAGGGATGAGGTGACAGGCAGGGACAGAGCTATCCCTCCACCATCTCCTTGGTCACTCTGTTCCTCCCTCCACATCCATCTTTTGAGGTGGAAACTTAAAATTTAAGGGCTTCCAGGCAATGCCATGAGAGGGACCAAAGCCTCCAAGGGTCCCCAGGATTCAGTCCTGAGTGCGTGACCTGGGGAGGAAGGGCAGGGGATGATGGTGCTGGACGCAGTGGGCAGGCAGGAAGCAGGCAGCTGCCTATCCCAGACATCTGGATGGATTGCCCTGTGTGTCAGCTATCGCTACCTTGGTGGGGTCACACAGGATGGGCACAGGAGCTGGGATGGGGTCAAGAGAGGACAGAGGGTGCAGAGTCCAGACTCTGGACTCTGAGCATCCAACCCCTGGCCATGTCCACACCAACCCAACTTGGTTTGGGGCTTCATCCCATGTGGGGACCATCCCCACTGGCCAGGAGGGACATGGCTTCCAAGCCAGCTGCTTGGAAGGGAGAGCTCAGCTGTGTGGATTCATGCCTACCATGCTGTCTGCTCTTGGGGCAGAGAGGAGCCCTGGTGTCCTTTTGGGTCACCTGTGAGGGGCTGCGTGGGACAAGGCTCGTGGTCTGACCACTGAAGTGCTAATGGGATTCCCAGTGGGATGAGAACTGGGAAGCTCTGGAAGGATGCTGAGACTGAGATGGTGGAAGCAGAATGGAGACTGGGAGCACAAGATCCCTGATGGGAGATTAGGAAGAGAAACACTAAGTGAGATAACCCAGCTGCAGAGCCAGGAGAGACCCGTCCTCATCCCGGTTCATCCCATGGAGGCCAGGATTTGTCTCCAGGCAGCCTGTTGTGCCATCCTGTGCCCCCCAGCTTGTGGAAATGCTTCAACGCCAGAGACCGTGGGAAAATGGGAATCTTCCCTAGAAGTGGGGAGTGCTGAGCAGCCCAGGTTCATTTTGTCCAGCATGACTGGAGTCTGGAAAGGGGATGGGTGTTGGGAGGGGGGTGGGGTGCAGCAATGCATCGGGTGGGCGGGAATGACCGGGAGGAGAAAGAGGGATTTTTTGTGCAGGACAGTGTGCGTGGGCACGAGGAAAAAAGCTCCCCGTGACTGCATCCAGTTCCCTGTCTCCAAAGAAAAAAGGGCAAGGAGGAAACTGCCTTTGAGGTTTGCTTTTTGAGGTCTTCACCAGTGGAGACTCGCATGATGTGGCAGCTTGTTGGTCCAGCATTTAGATCTCTCTCCTCTCCTGTGGCCCAGGATTCCATGGCAGGAGGAATACGTGTTGCTGGCTGTGGTGTTTTCCTGCCCTAGATGGTTCCTCTTAGGGCCTGTGTCCCTGCCAGGACAGCAGACAGATGGGTGGCACCTACGACGTGATGACCTTATGAAGTCCCAATGACAGAGGAGGCCCCGAGAGGTGTCTTGGTCACCTGTGCAGAGGGACAGGAGCCCTCAGCATGGCACAGCTGACAGCCTGAAGGGGTTGTGGGTTGTCTCAGGACAATGCAGAGTTTAATGGGATAATTTCCATGAAGGAATGTGTGTTTGGATTCGCGCTCAGCTCAGCAGAGACGGGGTGGGAGGGATTTCAAGGGTTGCAAGTGCTCCTCAAGGTCTGGGAGGAGAACAGGCAGATGGGTAAAGGGCAGAGAGGAACAAACCTAATGTACAAAAGGAGAAGAGGGCTGGGTGAGGCCTCCCAGACTGAGGATAATGCAGTGGAGATGAAGGTTGTGGGACTGCCACAGCTGGAGTTTTCAAATGGCTTAACCACTCCTGTTTTTTATGGAAGGAGGGAGAGACAGGGATCTCCCTGAGCTCTTTTCCCACCATTTCCTCAGTGCTGTGGTCCCAGTATGGGTGTCTGCACCCTTCTCCTCCTGCTCATGCTGATGTGGGGTCAGTCCTGGTCTTACTGAGTCCCACATCCACCCTTCTTCCTCCTATCGCCAGGGCTCAGCACTCTAAAAATCACGGAAAGGAAGGTGCCAGGGGAATTCGGGGCTGGCACGCGTGCGGGTGAGGTTTATTCACCCCGGGGCGGGCAACAGCTTGGCAGCGTCGGCTTCCCTGAGCAGCGCTTCTGCTCGTCCTACTGCAGCCGCTGGCATTCCCCTGAGCTCCGCTCCGCACCCTCATCCGCCGAAACCGTTTTGAAGAGATTTTTTTCCTGGGATCGGGACAGGCGGGTGATCTTGTGGCAGAGAGCGGCAGAGAGTGGCAGGCAGAAGCAGCTGGCTCCTTCCCGGGGAAGGCAGGCAGGGAACCGGGGGCTGGAGGATGCTCGCCGCGGTGCCCATCCGCGGGGATGCGGGGTTGCTAGGAGGCAGGTGAAGGTGAAGGTGAAGAGGAGAGCGCTGCGGAGGACCACAGGCCCAGGTACCGCAGCAGCGGGGCTGGGGGACAGTGCGGGGGGGGGACCCTCTGTGTACCGGGAAGCGGAGCCAGCGAGCGGGAACGCTGAGCCCTCGGGAAGGGAGCCGCGAGCGCCCGGGGCGGAGGGAGCCAGCTCGGTCCTACGAGAGGACGATGCGGGAGCTGCCGGCGGCTCGGCCCTCCGCCAGCCCGGCTGCCGCGGCTCCATCCCCACCGCTGCTAGTGCCGGCGAAGGCCCTTGGCCGTGAGTAGCGAGGGCTACGGGAGGAGCGGGGAGGCGCGGGAGGATGCTCAGCCATCCTCAGGCAAGGGCTAGCGGGGGGATGCCGCCCGCCGCGGAGCCCCAGGCGGGCCGGGGCACCGGTGCCCTTGGGAAGTCGCCTGCAAGGGCCGAGGGAGCGCCGCAGCCCGGGGCCGGCGGGCC